TCGGCAAACGCCCACCGGAGCCACTGGCCTCCGCTCGCTTTTCCTCTGCGCTTTTCATCTTTTTGCTTTGTGGTTTTTTTTCCTCCCCCCTCTCTTTTTGAAAGCATAAGGGTTTTGAGCTCGTGCGCTGCCGGGGCTCGGGGGGTGGGGGGGTGATGCAAAGGGCATCTGAGCTGCGGAGCAGTGCAAATTGGACGTCGGAGAATTCTGGCTGCTTTAAAAAAAAAAAAAAAAAAAAAAAAAAATTTCCTCATCGTTTTGTTGTTCTCTCTTTTAAAACCTAGCAGGCGCAAAAAGGGCTGAGACTTCGGAGAATTTAGCAATCCGCTGCCCTGTCTCCCATCCTCTTGCTTCTCAAAGACTTCAAATGATCCAAAAATAGCTCAAGGGAGTTGAAAAAACCCCAAAAAACCAAAAAGAAAACCCAAACGGAGCTTCGTATCGTTGGTTCACTCGCACTTTGTGAGCGTCTTGGTGGCTTTCGGCGTTTGTCGAAGGGGTTTGTACGGCGTGGGGACGCCCGGTTTTGTCTCCCAGCGCTAAGGAAAGCCCTTGGAGAGCGAAGCGGCTCCTCACTGGGCGCTGGGGCCTCGCCGGGCACTGGCTGGGATGGAGTGAGGGTTGCCGGGGGGGCAAGAAAACACCTTCGACTGGCTCAGGAGGCAAAGAAACGTCTCCGCTAGCAGCCCTCTACGTATCAAAGTTTCCAGAACATCTATAAAAGCAGAAAGTCACGAGAATGGTACCTCCAGTACGTAGAAAAAGGAATAAATACTATTTATAGCTCGCGTGGTTTCTGTACATTTCCGTGTGCTCTCAGGTCGGGACCCCCGGCCGTCGGGGCGGTGGGAAGGGCTCCGGGCCCTTTCTTGGCGTGGTCGGGTTTGTCTCCCTAAGGCAGCGACCGAAATCCTTCGCGAGCTCGTTTGAGCGCCCGGAAAAGATCCCCGCCGGCCGGAGAAGTGCTTGGGACGCACCGGTGAAGAACCGTGGGGTCCCCTTGGGTGCCAGCGGCGGGAGGCTGCCCCGCTCCCCCTCGCCGCCGGGTTATTGCTAAACTGTCGCGCGACGGATTTGAACGGGGCTGGGCATCGCTTCTGGAAAACAAATGAGGCATCATCTTTGTTTTTTGTGCTAAAGGGATGGAGAAAATCTTTGTTCATCTCTCCGAGGTAGAAAAAATTTGTCCCAGAGACAAGAAGCGTGAAAAAAATTCCAGGAGCCCTCGCCTAGAACAGCGATGTGCAGCCGCGACGCGGGAGGTGGGACCTTGCACGGGACGGGGACAGGGAGCGTTTGGGTTTAGGTAGGACAGAAAACTTCCCAGAGTGAAGGCGTCCGACCCGAGGCTGGGCGAGGCGATGACTGCGGAGCCCCCCCAGCGGCGTTCCCCAGGCGAGGAAGGCTCCGGCTCCGGGACGAGGCCGGGCTGGGGTGTGTACGGCTGCGCTGCTACCCTGAATATTTAGAGTCGGCGGAGACGAGCCCCCCGACTAATGTGCCAGCGGCGTGAACCCTGCGCACACCCTCCCCCGTGCCAAGACGCGACGTAGCCAAAACGCTCCGCGTGCCTGGCGCTGACTTGCCTCCGCTCTCTCCCGGGATCTAAACTGCGCAAGAGGCCGGCTCTGCCTTCAGATCCTCACCCAAAAACTTGACTTTTGGGCCCTGCCGCCGATTATCGGGTACGTGAAGTTGCT